TTTACCACTGATCAGCTGTAGGGCAGTCCTTTGAAGCCCCGCGGCAAGAGTTTAAACAGGTTTTTTCCTTCTAGCCGATCAGCTGGGACTCAGGGAGGCAGCAATAGATTGGGGGTGGGGCCAAATAAAAGGTAATAATAATGCCGGGGGGTGGGCGGGGTGGGGGCAGAACCAATTCGGTGACGTCATATCATCATCGCTACCAGCTCGGCGGAACTGAGAGGAACCGGGAGGAACCCACCACTGAAACCAACTGACAATCATAATTGACAATTCAACCATTGTTAGTTTAGTAATGGTCTTCAGTATTATATGCTGTGGTTTGCAAGAATACAGGGGTGTCACACTCACAATGACACATTGTCGTCATGTGATATATCACAACTTTTCCCCCTTTTGCTAAACGGGGTGGGCGTGGCCAGCACATGATACATCCAGCCTGTGGGCTGCGAGTTTCACACCCCTGTCTTAGAGGAAAGAATAAGCCGAGAAGGCCATGAATCCTTTGACAGTGAGATCTATCCCTAAAGAATGTGACATTGCATAGTGCCCCTTTCAGTGGCTGTAACAGTGAAGGGAGAACAATCTAGATTGGAAAGAGGATGCTGGCTCACCTATGGTCCAGAACTATAGGAACTGCTCAAACACCACACACACACACACACACACAGAAGAAAGCAGTTGCCAGAATTAGGGAAGCAACTTCTTGAATCTTGGCCAGGTACTGCAAATCCTTCCCAGGATGTAATTTAGCACCAACAGCTGTTGGAAATATACACAACTGTGTTGATTCCTGGACTCATCACAAATGCTGAGGTAATTCTAGATTGAGAAGAAAGCACAGCTTTATGCCTGATCAGGATTAAAAACCATATATAATTGTATCAAAGGTTCAGCAATTCAGTTCTGTGAGCTCACACTCACATAACCAAAATCATACAGCATTTTCGATTATGTGAGTGTGGGATCTTTGACATCTATAGAAGCAGAACATTTTAAAAGCAACAAATGACTTTTCTTATGATTTTTCCTTATAAAGTTGAGGAAGATTTTTAAGGCATAATATGCCATTCTTCTTAGTTGGGACTATAGTGAGATGATTTGCTGTAATTTCACAATACATTGACAATGAAGGGTTAAGGGTTAATATTATATTGCATTATATTATATTGCATGCCTATATGTAAGATGACTAATCCAACCTAATCCATCCATCCATCCATCCATCCATCCATCCATCCATCCATCCATCCATGTTTAAAGAATGGTTGGTTTATCATTTGAAAATCTAGTTTCTTCAAAGGTTTCCTGATTAATCCATTGAAGTTGGGCAGCTAATGAATTCAAATAAATAAATTATGAATTCTGTTTCCAACCAAATGGGAGGACACAAAGTTAAGGAAAATAGCCTAGCAAACTAGTGATATTCTGTTGGTTGGATTTTTTTAAAGAGTGGTTTGTTGACTAAAGCATTATGCCTGGCTACGTACTACATTAAGTGGAAATGGCTGAGTTCATACATAACCAACCAAACAGGCCCCATTATGGCTTTCTATGATAAGTAAACGAAGACACTTCCTCAAAACGATTCTGGTTTAAAATAGAAAAGTCAAAAGGTTGAATAGACAAGAGAGGAAATGTTTTTATAAGATCAGGAGGTAAGTTGACCAGCTTGTGTTTTTTCCCCCTCTAAGAAGTAATCAGAGTGGCCTTTTCCTCTCTTTTCTCACCAATATATAATATAATATAACAATATATAATAATATATAATATAATAATATATAATATAATAATATAATTCCATAGATGAATCTACTGTAGTCCATGACTTCGGTTAGAACATGGACTGCAATCAGAAGGTACTTATTTTTTTTCCTGGAAGTTTCTTGCTTTAGGGAGTAAATTTCCAAAAATTTAATGGAAAAACATACTTCTTCATGGGTTTTTTTTTTTTTAGGACAATGAATCTAGTAAAGTATATTTGGGATGATCAGGTACCATCAGTCACAAACTGAACCTGAAAAATTAGTTATGAAATTTGTTTTAAAAATACATTGCAATTCTTGTCTCAATTTGACGTAAAAAATAGCTTTTTTTTAAAATAAAAACATAAAATTTCTTATTATTAAAAATGAGGTTCTTACTTCACTTTTCCTTTAAAATTCTTTACAAGCAGTATTTTTCTGTTTAAGAGAGAAAAAGATCCTTTGCAGCAATTTACCTCTGTGAATTTAATGCTAGTTCTCTCCATGGCTTTATCCACTAACATGTATAAAATTGCCCGTGTAAACTTGACTATTGTCTTTCATAGCATTGTTACAACTTTCTTTCTTCTATATGTTGACATTAGAAAGATAACAGTTGGAGTCACATAGAGAACACTGTTTTCACAATAGTATTTGTGTCTAGATCCTTAACTCTTTAATGCAAGGATTTCGTTTCTGTAGATCTGTCTGTAAGATCAAAAGAGAAAATAACTTTTTCTTTGTTTTGTTTTCTTTTTTACTTAATGTGATAGACAGCATGAGTGCCCTCTAGTGGGGACAATGAGAAATGCTAATTAAAAATATGCTTAAAACAGACTAGGTTTTTTTGCTAGCAGAATTATTTAAATGAAATGGAGACTGAAATGTCAACACATGGTTTGCTTTTTAAATGAATCATTTAGTATTGAGAGAAGGAAAAAGATATCCATAGTTGTAAAACTGACAAATAATTGAAAAGAACAAAGTCAAACAATATATTTTGATTCTTTAAATTCACCAAACACATATTAACACATTCTGAATGCCAAGCTGACTGATAAGCACCTTCTGTCACATTTTATATTGTGTAATATGAATATTTTTCTTTTTGTTCTAAAATATGTTGATGCTATAAGAAATTGTAGAATGAATATGACTTAGTAATGTTTATTGTCCAATATCCAGCTACATAGTAGTGAAGATTTTTGAATTAAATATTCAATTTGGAAAGGCTGTGCGGTTCATTTTTGCCTTTAGAATATGCATTTGATTAAAATTCTTTTAATATTATTACTTTAGTACCTATGCTAACTTGATTCGCAAATTATCAAAAGAGATTATTATACGCATCCGTTAGCAGATGGAGCAGTTAAGATGTTAGGCTTGTCAGTTGGAAAGCCAGCAGCCCAGGTTGGAGAACTGAGACCCATGAGACAGGGTGAGCCCCCATTCTCACCCCAGCTCCTGCGAGTAGATAAATAGGCAGTACTTTGGTCAGAAGATAAGAGTGCTCCGTGATGTCATGCTGGCCACATAACTGTGGAAATATCTTCGCACAGTGCTGCCTCAATGGCCTTGAAATGGAGATGAGCAGCATCCCCTATAGTTAGCTATGACTAGGGCAGGGGTGAAATGGTCCCAGTTCGGATCAGATCGCCCGATCCGTTAGCAATGGAGGCGGGAGGTTCGGAGAACTGGTAGCAAAAATCCCTGCCCCCCCCTCCCATGCCCAGCTGAGCCACACAATCATCAGAGGCTTTTTTTTTTTTTTTACTTTTAAAAGCATTTTTTCTACAACCTCTTCGGCCGAAAAAATGCTTTTTTCAGATCCAAGCTGAGTTGCCTGATCGTCAGAGGCATTTAAAAGAAAAAAAGCCTCTGCCAATCTGGAACTCAGCTGGGATCGTCAGAGCCTTTTGAAAGCATTTTTGTGCAACCTCTTTGCCGAAGAGGTTGTAGAAAAAATGGTTTAAAAGTAAAAAAAAAAAAATTGGCCATGCCCACCCAATCACATTACCCACCCCAAGCCACGCCCACAGAACCAAAATTGTGGAAACCTTTTGGAAAAAGTGTATTTTTTAAAACTAGCTAATAGTGCACTTTTTTTTTGAGTAGTACCATAAAATTATATATTGATGGAAAGATATTTTAATCAAGAATGTAATGCAATAACTTTTATGAAGGATTTGCTATTAGAATAGCAGTTACAGTATAAAGAAGAAAAGTGAAACACGTAGAAAAAACGAGATGTACAAAAATTATCACCATAGAAAAAACGAGATATACAAAAATTATCACCATGTTACGTAATACTTAGTTGGGTAACCTTTAGCATGAATTATGGCCTTACAACGTCTTCCCATGGAGTGAACCAATTCTTTTAGTTCTGTAGCTGTTATAATGTGAAACCAAGATTGAATTGAACTTCTATTAACTGGGTTTTATTGCTGGGTCACTTCTGACTAACAAATTTCTTTAGTCGGCGCCATAGATTTTCAATTGCGTTAAGGTCTGGGCTATTCCCAGGCCATTCCAGCAGTGGAATATGATTATCTTGAAACTCCAAAAAAAAGTGTTGTTAGCCATCAAACCTCAAATATACACTTTTCCCAAAAAGTTTGCACAATTTTGGCCACTACTGTATCTGGTATCCCAACAGGTTTCTCTCAACTACTCTGTAAAGACATTAATAAATGCCTTTATTATGCTAAGAGTGCTACAAGTCCTAGGTTGTTGTTTTAATTGTAGTTCTCTTGCTTTTAGGATGTTTGGCAATGCTTTACAATGTTTGTTTAATTGTTTTCATTAAAATGTTAAATGACCTTAGGTCATTGTGTGGAAAGACAAAATAGAAACGCTTCAAAAACAATTTAATTTATTCATTAAATTTTTATGCCCCCATCTCCCCTATAATGTGACTATGTGAAAACGATCTTTGCAAAGGTTTCTAATCAGCAACTGCTACAGTGGTGGGTTGCTACCAGTTCGCCCCGAATCGGGCAAACTGGTAGTGGCGGTGGCCGGAGGCTCCACCCACCCACCCGGATGCATGTGCAGAAGCATTGTGTGTGCGCGCAAGTGCCCATGAGTGAACCGGTAGCAACAGGTTTTGAAACCTGCCCCTGAACTGCTAGGAAACATCTTGTCCATGCAGTGTCTTTTTGCTACAAATGATCTCTGTGTCTCTCTCCCCTCTCCTCTTTTTGTCTGTCTGTCTGTCTGTCTGTCTGTCTGTCTGTCTATTTCTCTCTCTAGCTCCATCTGATCCACTGGAACACTACCATGTATCACAGTATTGATGAGGCAGTTGGAAAGAAGAATGGTATAGCCATTATTGCCTTATTTGTGCAGGTAATTTTCCTTCTCTGTGCCATGATCATTTATTGTCTCTTAATTGCAGTTTCATTGCAATACTGCCTGATGGGTGAAACTATGGGTGTCAATTCCTCCCTTCAACAGCTATTACAGAAACAAAAGCAGACTGTCATTTATGTCAGTTATACTCCTATGTCTTTTGGCAATACAAGCCCCTTTCATTTAAGCTGCAGATGCCACTTAAGTTTATGTTTTATAAGTGAATAAATTGAACTTATAAAAGTTGAACTGTGGTGAACTGAACTCATAATTCCTCTTCAAGCTTTTGGAACAAATATATAAAGAGTCCTTCTGAGGACACTAATTATATGTTTGTTTCAAAAATATTGATGTGTTCATTGACCATACCTTAGGACAACCAAAATCTTGATCAGTATCCTTGTGGAAGGAGCCTGAATACATACAGTTGTATTCTAAGCCTAGTCGCCTTCAATTTGACATTTACCATGCATCAATCAGGATATAGCCAATCCTGGCAGTGGCCTAAAGCAGGGGTCTCCAACCTTGGCAACTTTAAGACTTGGGGACTTCAACTCCCTGAGTTCCACAGGCAGCTTTTCTGTATATCTTTGATGCCATTTTGTGGTTATTTTGATTTGTGTAGTCCATGCACAGTTGGCATAATGCATACTTTCCCCACTCCAGATAGTCTATATTACATTCATTTTTGTGTTAAATTTATATCCTGTATTTTGTCCTGAAGCTCAGACTTGTTTACATACATAAATAAAATTAAGGAGTAATGTAACTTACTTCCATTTTTCCTCACATCAATAACCTTATGCTTGTTGGGCTGAGAGAGTGACAGGTTTGAGCTTTGATGGTTGAGGATAGACTAGTTAAGGCATCAAGCTAAAAACTGGAAGACTGTGAGATGTAGTCCCACTTTAGGCATGTAAGCCTGGTTGGGTGAATTTGAGCCATTCATTCTCTCTCAGCCCAATCCACCTCATAAGGTTGTTGCTGTAGGGAAAATAGAAGGAAAAAGGAAAATTAGGTATCTTGACTTATTGATAAAAAAATAAATAAAGATAATAAATAACTTTTGATGCTATGTAGATGAACTAGGATGCAATTTCTGAGGTTGGGGTAGGTTGGGACCTTTATTCAAGAAAGGTTTATTATGTTTTTGAATTATCCGTTTTGTTTCTTCTTCTGCCAAAAATTAAACTTCCATTTTTCAGAAGCAGTTTCATTATGGGAGTTCTCTAGGACCCCAGAAGGGTTTCTTAAAGTAGTTTTTGGGTTTTGTGTAGCTCCCCAACTTAGAAGACAAATATAATAGAAGTTTGGAAGGATGAAGGGATCATGGAACATGTCATCTCTGGAACTGCTGTAAACTTCCAATAATAGGATATAGGTGATCCTTGACTTATGGACATTCACTTAATTATGGTTCAAAGCTATGATGGCCTTGGAAAAAGTAACTCATGATCCATATTTGCACTTTCAACCATTGCACACACCCCGCCACAAGGTCATGTAATCACAATTCATGTTCTTGGCAATTGGCTTATATTTATGACTGTTTTGTAGAGCAATGTGGTCATGATTTGCAACATTTTATGCCAATTTTCGGCAAAGAATACCCATGAGGAAGTTGAATTTGCTTAATGACCTGGTGATTTGCTTAACGCCCATTGAAAAATTATTATAAAAATGAGTTTGATTCAACTTGACTTATGAGGAAAATTCCAGTCCCAATTGTGGTTGTAAATCAAGCATTACCTACAGCAGGGGTGCCAAACTCACATCGTCACAGTGGCATCACGGATGTATCGGGAGCTTTTCCCCCTTCGCTAAATTGGCCATGGGCGTGGCCAGCACGTGACATATGTGACCCTTGGGCCGGAAGTTTGACAGCCCTGACCTACAGTGTAATAGTGGATGGCAAATAGAAATGCTTCTTTATGAACCATATTTGAATGCTTTTTTGTAGACTTCTATTTCTCATGTTCTTAAATTCTTTGGAGACTTTGACGTTTGATTGGAAAGATGTATGGCTCTAGTGCAGAGAGGACTGTTAAAAATAATGAAAATTTGGTCTCCTAAAGGACTCTATAATTGCTTTGGAAGCTGTTACCCAATTTCTTCAGATCTAACCTTGGAATTACTCAGAAAGTTAAATTAAATTGTTAAATAAATCTCTTTAACTTATTACTCCATCCCATTCTCGGTTCAATGTAATCTTTTTTTGGCAGGAGAAGTAGGTATTTTTACTTTAATTGAAAATATCTCTTCACTTGATCCTTAAGTGCTGCATGTCCTATGATTAAGAACCAATTGGGTGAATGCCAAATTCATTTCATGGAAAACACACACATTTATAAGTACATGTTATATAATTACGAGCTTCTAGCTACAAATAACAATTGACTATCTAGGATGAGGTACATATTTCCACTTCTGTCAATATATTAAGTCAGTAGTTCCCACAAAAACCACTTTCACAGCTCCAAAATAGAGCTAATGTATTATCATGTCCATGATCAACAACAAAAGATAATAAGAGCACAATGATTTTGTATCTCGTTTTATTTATATGAATTGATGCAGCAGAACTGTGTCTGTGAATCAGCAGGAGTGCTCTCTGCTGGTAGAACAAAAGAGTTAATTCCTATTTTCCCATGGCCCTCCTCCACATCATTAAATTTTGTTCAGATAGAACCTTTTTTTAATGGTGCTGGGGAAATTTTAAGTACTCTTCAATGAGTGGACTTTTACAGAAGTCTTTGATCAACCGAAGGATATGCCTATGCAGTCTGCTGCCTAGGTGCCAATTATTAACAAGCAACTTCAAGACCCCTCCTCTCTCCTCTTAGGGCTCTGTATATTTTAATGAGGATTTGTATAGCCCTTCAAGCAAATGATAATTCACAGTCATCGCTGCCAGAATTCTACATGAACATATGGAGTTGTGCATGTTTGTGGGATATTTAACAGTTGTAGATATTTGAATAGCTTTTTATCAAGGCTTGAGTCAAAACAGCCCAGTTAGATTTTATGCTGATTAATAAAAACAATAATATTAATCAAAGGTTTCTATTTATATGTTGGCCTCTCTAGTATCTATCATTTTCATATTGTGGCTTGGATTCAGAATGAAAGTTTCATTCTTATGAATGAAATGCTGTCCACGTTTTAGAGCTGCTTCTACCTCATAATCACTTGGACGTATTTGCAACTCAATTACCGGTAGTTACATGGTTCTAGTGTTTTATTCTTATGGCCAAACCAAACAAAATCTAACTAAACTGAGCACAGCAAATGTGCAAGATGTTAGTGAAGGTTGTTTAACTTATGCAAATGTTTCCTGCCCAGTTCATGCCTTTAAATCAGCTTCCAAAGTGTGCTTATATTTTTCATTTTTTTAATATCCAAAATTTTGAGAACAACCTTAATTTTGTGTAATAATCTGATGGAGTTTTGAATGTTCTCTCATTTCCCTTCCCAGAAACTGCACACTTTAACATGAAAAGAATAGAAACTTAACTTCTGAACACATCCAACCAAAGAGAAGCGATCCCTATTCTGTGTAACTGATTCCATAATCAAACTGTATTCTGTAGTATAGAACAGAGGTGTCAAACTCAATTTGAGGGCAGCATCAGGGTTGTTTAACCTTGAGGGGCCGGGGTGTGTGCGGCCAGGGGGCGTGGCCAGCTCGACAGCACTCATTGAGGCTCTTTTTGGCCGTGGTGGCCTCCTACAAACCTCTGCCAGTGAAAACGGAGCTTGGGGAGGCTGCACGAAGCCTGTCTGAGCTCTGTTTTCGCTGGCAGAGGCACCGCGGGCCAGTCCTTTGCTGTTTCCAGGACGGGCTCGCGGGCCTTGAGTTTGACATCCCTGTTATAGAGGTTTTATTTTCAGTTGGATTGTGCTCTTCTGTCATTTTAATCTGCTACTTTACATCCAAACCTTTGTTTTTTTAAAAAATATTTTTATTAATTAAGTATAATAAAAATAATAAATCCAAACTTAGCACTAAGAACACTATTCACCAAGCATTCCATTTATTCTCATGTGTGCTTTATTACTATTACACATTTCTATAGACCATCATTTATCTACACCAGTGTTTCTCAATATTGGTAGCTTGAAGATGGGTGGACTTCAACTCCCAGAATCCCCCAGCCAGCAGCGCTGGCTGGGGGATTCTGGGAGTTGAAGTCCACCCATCTTCAAGCTTCCAAGGTTGAGAAACACTGATCTACACAGATCCAGAAGAGGTATACTTTCAGTCCCTTCTATCTTCCCATTTTTCGGATAACTCTTAGAAGGTGTTCTGTCATATACCTGATCCATATTCTTGGCATACACCACAATTCATCAGCATTTGTTTAAGTTCTTTATAACAGTGAATTATCAGTTTCTCTTTGTCTTTTATAGAACAAAGTTGTATCTGATGCTGTCTCTGATTCTGCGGTATCCGTTTTTTTCCTTGAATAGTCTGCCTTATCTTCAAGGATCTAAAACCTGTTTTTTTGTTTTTGGTTTAGTTACAGCAGTGTAGAATGCCTTTTCTGTCCTTTGCTACTGGCTGTTACTCTAATCCGCTGTCCTTGTTTCTCTACCCCCCCCCCTTTATTGAGAGTTTCTCCTATTATGTGTTTCTGTTGTGGGAGATTCATTTACTTTAATTGATACATCATTTTATCATTCAAAGTATGATTACCATTTGCTATCCTGAACCATTGGTTTGTCTTCAACGACTGCTATGAACTTGCTTTTGCGTCAATACTATTTTCAGGCAGGAAGACAACTATGCCACAAGCATTGTGGGTCTTAATAGCCTATAGTTGTTTATTAATCTTCATTTTTGCTTCTTAGGATACCATTGATATTAACACTTTTATTTGTTCTTTTTCCCTTCTTGGTGTCTCACATTAGCTGATCGAACTTAACTTATTAGCATTCCCTTTAACTCATTCCTTGGAACCTTATATTCTTCATGTCTCTGCCAACATTTATTTATCCATTCAATTTCATTCAATTCAATTCATTCAGTTTGTCAAGTCTGGCACGCTAACAAAGGATCCTAGATCTGGAGATTTTTTTAAAATCCCATTCAAACTCAGTGTGGAATAGTTTTGTTTTTTTTTTCTAATTCGTACACATGTACATGCTTGCAATTAAGACATTATGGAATAACATAATAAATATACACAAGACATGTGTTTTATATACAATTATATAAAAATCTAATACTCATGATACTTATGACCTGTATAGAATTGTGATATATACAATATCTGCATGGAATCTTCAAGTGCTGATTGTGCAGTTACTTTATAGCCTGTGTTGCATCATAGATAAGAAGTTCACGGCAGTTTATACCTTACTCAGTAAAGAATCATGCAAGGTCGTCTTGGATAATTAAATTACTCTTTCCTATTCTTCCCGACCCACTGAGTTTTATTTCCTTTTTTTCTCTGTTTTGTCTTTTCATAGCATATGTAAGTTAAATGAGGAAAGGACAAAACAGAGAAGAAAGAAATAAGACTCAGCATACCAAGAGTAGTGCAGACTAAGACCTTAAATCCAAGTACACTGTAAAATACTCTGGATAAGTCTGGTAGTTACTTCCTTGCAACCTATCAAATAGCATTCTTGTTGTGAGGATATAGTAGCGGTAAGTTCCCATGAACTCTTTAGAAGGAAGATGGTTTTTCATGTAAGAAACAATAACACGAATGTTTTGAATTTCACGTAAGAATAATAGCATATATACATAATGTATAACATTATTTGTTTTTAGTTTGATATACCAAAGTGTCAGAGAATAATGTGTTGTTTAACCTATTTCAAAGGTAGAATAACCCCTATTATATTTCAGTATTTATTATTGGTTTTATTTCAGATAGGAAAGGAACATTCAGGCCTAAAGGCTGTGACTGAGATTCTGCAAGACATTCAGTATAAGGTAAAATATCTTCAATATACAATTGGGGATCAGGGACTTAATGTGATCTGAATTTGTGCATGGAATGTATAGCAGTCATTTATTTAATTTACTTATACTTCTCTTTTCTCCTCAACTAAATATTCAAAATATTGAAATATCAATTGCAATTCTATATTAAAAATCACATTTGACATTAACATTGATTAATAAAAAAGAGAAACATCTTTATAATCAAGACAAGAGGCAGCTAAAATGTAAACTTTAATTTGATAACAATGAAAATATGCTTAATTTGCAAATATGCTTCCAGTTTAGAAGCCATAAACAACTTTAGAGATTTTAATGTTTTTAGTGTTTTAATGTTTTTACTGTTTTTATTGTTTTAAACTGTTTTTAGGATTTTAATTGTAATACATGTTTTTGAATTTTGAGCCGCCCAAAGTCATTTACTATAGAAATCAATCAATCAAACAAACAAACAAACAAAGCTAAAAATCTATAAGCGCTCCAAAATAGGGACCTGCTTTTACAGGTGTAGTAAAAATAAGCTATCTCACAATTCCCAATTCCAGTTTACCATGAACATGTCTGTTTTATCTGGATTTAACTTTAATTTGTTCTGTGTCTTCTAGTTATTATTGAACTTAGGCAATTATATATGGTAGTAGCATTGTTGGATTTGGATTCTAAAATTCTATAGGCCTACTGATGATACCCCTTCCAAAAGCCTGGATGACCCTAGCCCCACCCCAAATAATCTTGAACAGAAGGGAAGCAAAATGAAATCATATGGCTCATCATACCTCAGTATCAACATACCTTCAGAGCTTGGCTTGAGAGAAAGGAATAGAACTCTTGCAAAATAATGACCTCAAAGATCAATCTTTCCAGACAGTCCAAAACTATACAGTTCGTGAATAGTCTTCTACTATAGCCCTGTGTAGGAATTTTAGATACTGAACCTGCAGTAAACATTTACAGTAGGGAAGATTTTCCAGACACTTTGTAATTGTATTGGTTTCCATGTTGCTAGAATTGGATTATGTGAAACATTTAATTGTATGTTTTGAAGATTCTACATTTGTAGTATCCAAACAGTCCTCTCTAGATCAAGTCATTATTTTCAATTAAGAGTATTTCAATTTTCAATCAAATTTCAATCATTTCGATATTGTCAGAGATTGATAGATATCCTAAGGGTAATCAAGTCCATCCTGAACATGTGACATTTTGAACGAACCTACCTTCCTTCCTTCCTTCCTTCCTTCCTTCCTTCTTTCCTTCCTTCCTTCCTTCCTTCCTTCCTTCCTTCCTTCCTTTTAAAGTACTGCAGAAATTACAATTCACTTTTCCCTAAATTCACAACTTTTTTTGTTTAAAAACTAAGAACAATCTGGATTCTATTAACTTTTCAGGGCAACTCCAAGACAATACCTTGCTTCAATCCTAACACGTTATTACCAGGTGAGTACTTTTCTTTGTGCCACAATTTTTTTGTGAACACTAAACACTTGCTTTTTAGTTTTGTTAATAGCTAGAGTCTAAAAATGGGATATGAATCAAATTAAACTGCTGTCAAGTTATCAACTTTGACCAACAGTTTTGACTTAACTGAATTGTTAACAAATATAGCTCTGAACACAAAACACTTCAGCGTTCTGTAATTATCTAGTTATACTGTATATTGGGGCTGCAGCTTCAGCTAGTCATTCTCAGAGTAGCAATTCATTCTCATTAAGAGATCATCAGGATGGGAATACTGGTATAGCCCATTATAACAAAAGTCTTGAGGAAAACATTATGTGTGGAATACTCAGCAGGTAACATTTCTACTCTTCACAGAATTGAATCATAGTTTTCAAAACATTTGTCCTTGTATTACATCAAAGCATAATACCAATAGAATTCAGGCAGGTAATATCACAGTTGGCAATTATATATATAATAGCTTCACAGTACATTTATTGTGTCCATATTCTGGAATTAATTTTTTTAGGTTGGAAATATAGTAAGTTACTGTTCTTTTTATAGACATATGAAATTATTATGAATGGAATGTATGAGGGTTTGTTTTGTTTTGTTTTTTGCCCAGGACTACTTAGCAGAATGTAATTGAGGTTCTGAGTTTTACACTTATATTATCCATGCACCATAACTAAGAAATACATGCTTACAGAGAACTAACTGGACTTGCAGGACATTGTGAGGTCTTGGGACTCTTCCTTTGTCATTGTCCAAGTATTGTTGATATTTAAATAAATATGTATTTCTTAACACAATAAATAGTTGAGCACACAAGGTTTCATTAATTAAAAATCATAAATCTCAAATAATATAGGTAAACCTGTTGTAATAGAAAGGTTTGCTGTTTGGAGAAATTACAAAACATCATAATATCCATAAACATTATTTACCATTATTAAAATTAAGAGAAAAAGACATAAAAGAGGTACTTAACTGAAACATAAATCTCCTTATTAGTCATCTAATACCTAGACAGTATTTTTGAGTGATTCTTTTCTTCATTTCCAAGGACACAGATTTGAGAAATCTGTGACTATAATGGCACATTCTTGGGGCAATGTATCCAGGGGTGAAATGCTACCAGTTCACACCGGTTTGGGCGAACCGGTAGTAAAAAAAAGCTACCATTTCGTCTGAACTGGTATTTCCGACAATCAGCTGTGCCACGTGATTTATATTTGCTAGAAATCAGGAAATCCTGTTTTCTAGTGAATCTAAATGGCGCAACACAGCTGTTCTCTCCCCCCCCTCACTGTTCTACTTACCTTCAAAGGGCTCCTTTTTCTATGCGAAGCCCGTGTTTGGTGCACACTGTGCATGCGCGCACACGCAGCATGTGTTTGGCGTGCACTGTGCATGTGCAGGCAGCGAACCAGTGGCAACCCATGGAGGATTTCACCACTGAATGTATCAATAGATTTCCTTGTAATTAATCCACTTTAAGGTGATGAACATGATGGATGCCATTATGGATAGAATAGATAGAATTATGAGCAAATTCAACTGGGATAAAATAAAGAGTCGCAAAGGAATTAAATCTGATAAAGTCAATGGATTCCATCAATCTCTATATAAATCTGGATCCAGTTTGGTTCTTTTGAACTTTAATTAACTTATCGTGTATGTGTTATGGAATGTTGAGAGAGAATAAAATAGTTAGAAAAGAACACAAACATTTCATGAATTTTGGTTATTTTACAAGTTTTCAGCAATGATGATGATGATGATGATGATGATGATGATGATGATGATAATAATAATAATAATATCTATGTGATTATGGATGCAATAGTGATACCCATTGTCATCGCGGCACTTGGTACCATGTCCAAGAATTTTATAAAATACATCAAAAAATTGCAGCTTCCTGCAATAACATCAGCAGAACTGCAAAAAACTGTGCTACTCGGAACATTGTACATTTTAAGAAGATACTTGGTTGATACCTAGGATGCTGGCAGCAACTCGTATCAACCATTAGTGCCTGTCAGTGGTATTTGTGATATCTTTTTAAATGTTCAGTTAACTGTGTTTCATGGTTAATGAATGATGATGATGATGATGATGATGATGATGATGATGATGATGATAATAATGGAGATGAACAATGGAAACCTCTTGAAAACAATGAGATTGAAAGCAGAATATCAAAAGGGAACAAAAGAAGCCTATGCACAGTCAATAGGACTGTGAAGGAAAGGCAGATACAAAATGGAGCTGGTTGAGATCAGGGAGAAAGAAGAAAGAAACTGGAGGCTTCATTTTGGCTGCTCAAGAACAAGCCTTTCAAACTAATTCCATGAAAACAAAATTCAACACGTCAGTAACAACAGCAAATATTGTTTATGCAATGAGAAAGATGAAACAGTGGTTCATCAGTTATCAGTGGCTGCAGCAAAATTTCACAGACTGATTATCTACAACGTCATGATCAAGTTGCCAAAATCATACATTGCAAGCTTTGCCAGAAGTTTGGGTTTGAATGTAGTAAAAATCACTGGGAACACCAAGTTGACAAAGTTCTTGAAAATGAACAGGTGGAAGTTCCTGTGGAACTTTTGGATCCAAACAGACAAACTTCTGGCCCAAAATATGCCTGACATCACTATTGTGGAAAAGAAATAAAATTTATTGCTATCGCAATACCAGATGATGCACGAATTGAAGAGAAACAGCTACAAAAAATTACGAAATATTGTGATTTCCACATTGAAGTTGAGTGACTGAGGAGGAAGAAATCAATGGTTGTTCCAACAGTCATAGGAGCCCTTAGAGCAGGGGTATCAAACTCGTATTGTCATGGCAGCATCACATGATGTATTGTGATTTTTTTCTATTTGCTAAACTGGGCATGGGTGTGGCCAGCGCATCCAGCCCACAGGCTGCGAGTTTGACAGCCCTGCCTTAGAGCAATGCCCAAAAGATTGCCTTGATACATTGACATTTTGAACTTATTAGCGCTGAATATTTTGACTTTGCAAAGAACTATCTATATACTCAGACGTTACCTTAAAAGCTCTTAGGTCCTTGATTGGTACTTGAACTCTTAAGTTTTTACCACTCCCAGGCTATGAATCGAATTGAAGATTAAATCTTAAATAATAATAATATTGAACAGCACCTAATGTCTGATGTTCCTTTGGATTTAAATAACATATTTTCTTCTTAAAGCTACACGATAGATGGTAAAATTGGCCGACAAATTCCAACCCTAGTTTTCATCTGACATTAAACTTTTTAAACATCTTTTCTAATTTCTACAGTAGCACCAATATTCAGATTAATCTGCACAATTGTTTGATCTGTAGCTTATAACAATCACCTTCTTCCTCTTTGACCTTCATCATTATTTGTTTGTAATGGAAGAATACCTTCATCTGTTTTTAAATTTTGTCCCTGTAGTTTAAGTACATTAGATAATTGCATGACAGTGTTTTTCAACCAAACATGGTAAAGTTTTATACATATTTACTTAGTAATAGATTTCAGTAGGAATTAGATAACTATTTACATGTGAATAAGCTCTATTGAACATGGTAGGAACTTCAAGAACATATGCAAAAGAAAAATGGTTAAGAAGAAAAGGTCAGCAGCATTAAATTTGTACACTTGTTTAGGATTATTCTTAAAAGAAAGAAGACGATTAAAACTGAAGCTGTTAGTAGAGGGTTGGAAATGAAAGCTATAAAACATCATAAAATCCAATTTGCACAAATATCATACATCCGTGTCTTGAGTTCAGTGCAATAGGTGAAGTTTGGATTTCACTATTTCAGAGATTTTTCTTGTTAGACGTTCATATGAGCCAAGGTGGTACAGTGGTTAGAGTGCAGTACTGCAGCTACTTCAGCTGACTGCTAGTTCAGCAGATCAGCGGATCAAATCTCATTGGCTCAAGGTTGACTCAGCCTTCCATCCTTCCGAGGTGGGTAAAATGAGGACCCAGATTGTTGGGGGCAATATGCTATTTAGTATACTGTCTTTGGTGTAAGCCGTCCAGAGTCCTTGGAGAGTGGGCGGCATAGAAATATGACTAATGAAATAAAATAAAATAAATATGGATGTCCACAAATTGGAGGTACCAAACTAGAGGAAGCATTGTGGTTGCTCTGCTTTCTGTTTGAAATGTTTCTAATGGAAAGGATTGCTTTTATAAGAACTATCCTTGGAAGCATATCACCTTGTTTTCTGTTGCATTCTGCTAGAAAATCAGTTTACACCAACCTCTCTATGCTGCAAGATGATCTAGGGATCAAATCCTGCAGGTTGCCTTTTATGAGATACATCCTAGAGACTCTGTTTGAACAGCTGTAGGTTGCATGCAGTAAAATGATTTCATTTCTTCAAGTATGTTTACATTATTGCTTTCAAACCAAGGTATTCATTCAATTTCAGATCCACTGCTAAGAGACTATTGGGTGTATGAAGGCTCTCTCACGGTCCCACCCTGCAGTGAAGGTGTTACGTGGATCTTATTTAGATATCCTTTAACTGTATCCCAAATTCAGGTAATGGTTGTTCTTATGACCACAGCCTGAAATTCTCAGTGAAAGGTTACAGCATGCAAATATATTGCAAGGCATTATACTTGCTTTTTCCTGGAAATCTCATTAAATTGACCAGTTTATGGCTTTTAAAATAAAGGTTAAATCATTTGTGTTATTAAAATGGAAAGATCAGAAACGAAGAACTGTTGTTACCATTTTGTTCGTGTATTATAAAAATAAAAACGTACTATGAAAGAAAAACAGAAAAGTAGAGGGGAAAAGAGAAATAAATAAATAAATGCTCAGCAGTTTTCTTTAAAAAAAAACCTTTATGCTTGTTTCCCTTAAAATAAACACTAGCAGAAGTTTGAACAGATGTGCAAAATAACCTTATTTGTGTACTGGGCACTTAATGCAATACTATCCAGTAGCTGCTGGCTAGTTTTGCTCTCCAGAGCCATTTCAACCAGTGCCAGCATGTTCCATAGCGGACACAGAACTCATGTGAGTCTAGGCAACAATTACATGCAAGTCTCTCTTCATGAGAAACTTTGGTTTCTGCCTCTCTGGAAGGACTTTTTTTTTTTATTGACTGATATTTTCTCACTAGCATGACACAGTAATTCTAGAATAATTTTTCTCTTTTTTTTCTGATTTGCTTTTTCTCTCCCATGTTCCAAAAATAAAAGACTGAAACACAGTCAAGAAGCTATCTTCATGCATTTCTGATATTTTAATATCCTTTTCCTATTTGAAATGTAACTCCCCATCTCAACTGCAGGGTGAACAATCTGGAGCCCTCCATTATGAATCGAAATAATTTCTGGCTAGAGTTCCATTAGATTTGTTTTCCAAAATTTTAAAAAATCTGATCATAAAGAACTTAAATCTTTATTCAGAATGTCAGGTCCTGCTGAAAAAGAAGATATGTTTCAATAGTACACTATATCTAACATTGAATTAATAAATGTATTTTAGTCCTTTTCCTTCACTTTGGGTTTAAAAACTTCATCCATATAAAGGAAAACTACTAAACTGAAAACAAATTCCCTAAAGAAATCATTTGCTTACATTGTCCCAGTGATTCATTTTAAAAGCATATTGTTCTGTGGAAGAGAAGTTTTCCCTGCTTCTCATAAACCCTTTCTTTATTTTTCTGTTTTTAAAAGGTCAATTTTTTCCTGGTTTTTCAAAATTGGGTTATCTCCTTGTGAAATATAAGGGTCATGTTATGATTAAGCAAGAATAGGTTATCAAAGCTTAGTCTTCAGTTAGAATAGCCAGGTGGCTTTGATGTAGTTGGTTCATTTCAGCCTTGTAATCATGTCATAAAACAAAGGAATAGAAACCTGTTGAAATGTTGGCACATTGCCAAGTTCATAATGGATTTTCCCTCCATTTCTATTTTAATCCAATTTCTGTTTGAAACGATCACTAGTTTCATACAGTAAAGTCTGTAATACCTCAAAAGCCTTCCTTAGAATGTTCCAAAAGATGATAAGAAATTGTAAATTTTAATGTGAGAAGAAATGAATTAATGCATGGGGAGTATCTGATAACTTTCTTTAATTTATTTTAGTTAATTTTAATTTAGTTTAAATATATTCTTGGTTACATGTTTTTTTTAAAGCTTTGTATGTCATAACAATTGAAATGGTGGGATCAGTGGTGGGTTACCCCTGGTTCAGACCGGTTCGCAAGAACCAGTAGTAAAACCGGTGAGAGGCTCTGCCTCCTGCCCCGGATATCATCATAGGCGATCTGCGCATGCGCAGAAGCGATCCCATTGCGAACCAGTAGTCAAGGTAAGTAGAACCCAGCCCTGGGTGGGATGTATGTTAAAGAGAGGAAAAATAAATAGAATTTTAAAAAATCTATATCTTTTAACAGCATAAGTACTAATCGAGGGAGTCAAATGTCCATTTCCTTGTTTTATTAGATAGAAGAGTTTCGAGGACTGAGGAATCATATTAAAGGAGCGGAGCTCCTAGAAGGTTGCGATGGAAATTTAGGAGATAATTTCAGACCAACACAGCCACTTAATGACAGAGTCATAAGGGCTGCTTTCCAGTAATAGAGACAAATAATTAAAAAAAGAAAAATAAATAAAATCAAAATATAGGTAAGTGAAAAATGAAAATACTGACTTGTATAAAATACGACTTCTGTGCTAACTTCAGCATAATTTCCATTAAAGATATATTCATTTCTTTTGGAGAAGTGGAAGTGTATAATATCTGTACATTGTGTTTTGACCAGATTTTTAATGTGATATGAAGTCATTTTTAGAGTCAAAGAATCACAGAGCTGAAAGGGACATTTATGCCTTAAATCCAATCTTGCACTGTGCAACAAGTCTTAATATAGGATCCCCTGGCAAATAACAATTTGGCCCCTTTGTTGTAGCATATCCAGTGAAAAGGAGCTCATCTCCTCTTTGACTAATTGTTTCCATTTTTGTCAACAAATTGTTCTTACTATTACAATTTTTTCCCTAATCTTTATATTTCTGAATATTTTTTCCAATATTAGGAAAATATTTCTTAATATTTCTTAATATTTTACTTTAATTTAAATCCATTATTCTGTGTTCTGTACTTTGGAATGGCAGAAAATAAACCTTAATCTTTGTTGGATGCTCTTTTCAGACATTGAGGAATGGTGTCATGTTCCAGGACCTGCCAGTAGTCGTCTCTTCTCAAATTTCTAATTATTGTTGTTGATAACTTTTAGAGCAGGTCCTTATAATGTAGCATATACAGATAATTCTAGAATTAACAACCATCACTTAACAACTGCTGTGTTCACTTAAAAACCATGGATTCGCTTATCAGCTATTGTGATATATCCTAACAATGATGACAAAAAATGGTAAAATCAAATCTGGTCACTTGACTTATGACCGCAATGACTTAAAACAAGAAATTTACTCCCAATTGTGGTCATATGTTGAGGACTACTTGTAACTACAAATCTAAAAGTAATGAATTTTATTGTTTAACAGGATCACATAACATTAACTATCTCAGGATTTTAAGGTTTGGGGTTTGGAGAAATAAAATAATCCTTATAGCGTATTTAGCTGGAAGCTAGGAGGTTAAGAAAATTGTTTTATGGTGGCAGGGCTATCAGCTCAATGAATTGCCCTGTGCCCAATTTTATGATGGACCAAGCAGCAGAATCTCAAATTGCAATGATAATAATTAGTCTACAAAATGTTGGTCTTATAAATGGTATCATAATTCATATAGTTTTTATTCTCATAATGGACAAAATAAAGGGGGTGGCTAAATTATTAAATTCTACAAGATCCCTTTCCTTAATCTTGTTTCTTCAGCAGTTCTGGGTGCAACAAGACAAGATGGTAGAGCTCCATTTTTTATATTCTGTTTAAAGCAACTTCAGGAAATGCATTGGGAGCACAATACTGAGAAAGATGAAAAGTAATGTTTTTCCCATTGCACCATTTTTAAATGTAAATCCTCTCAGTTGTTGCTCTTTGTTTTATTAGGGAATAAATGTTTTTCAGTGTTTCCCCTAATGAGGGAAATAGTGCTGGAAATAGGGAAAACTGCCACATAGGAAAATTTGAAGGGAAAGTTTTAAATCTTTTATTCCGGCAAAGTGTCAGTTCAATATGGGATGTTCAATAGTTGATTTTGAAATAAATAATAAAGCTGATTTTGGATCGCCAACATATCATTTTGCTTGTTTTTGTCTGAGAAGAAATGAAGGTTACATTGGCTGCAATTTTTAAAATAACTTGCAATTTTAGAAGCTAATAATAGAACTGAACATGGAATATATTAATATTCATGGAAGGGGATATTCAGTTAGAAATTGTAGAATATAAATGTCAAGTTTTTCATATTATTTTATCCCACACTGATTCAAATATTTAACCTTATATCAAACTGTATTTAGTGATTATGCATTATTTTGTATTTTGGATGCACACCACAAACATGCTAGACAAAATTACAGACTAATGGAGTTTATGCTGTATTTGCCTCTATCTATGGTTGCAAATTAGTCTAAGAATTCATTTGGACATTGTACTAAGCCATAACAAAGCAGTAAAGCTAGTGCATGACATTCAAATCATGCTCTTCGCTTACTTTCCTAGAGATAGCTAACCACAAATGGATTTGCATCTGTACCTTGCTAACTGTATTGCACAAACCATGAACTCTAACTTACAACTTTGGCTTGTTCAAGTAGGAATTTTAATTGCACAATGAACACAGTGAAAAATATAATAACCATGTTATACTATGTTCTTTTTCATCTCCCAGATCCTTGATTCTGATCTGAGCCAGTTGATCTTGTCTGAAGATTTTGTGGTCTTTGGACCTGCCTAAAAGCTATTAAAAAGAGTCACCCTAGAATTCTTTCTGAATAATGGATCACATTGCTGGATACTTTCCTGAAGATACTGAACTGAATTTTCCTAGCAAGGAGTATGAACTCCTCTTTCAACTGACATATTGACTTAATATGATTTGCTTCAGTAGAGATGGCGGAAGATGTAATGTGGAGTCATTCATCAATTACACAGGACAAGGATATAATCTTGAAGACTGTTTCTTTTTATCTAAAGGCTGACAGTAGTTTTGAGACTACATTGTCATTTAAGAGCTTACATAATTTTAGGTTTATATTGGAATAAAGATCTGTGATATTGCCCAAGGTTTTGTGGAGCTCACTTTTTTTTAACCTTGATTCTCATTCTACTACTTGCTTGTTGGCATCTATAGTTTTCCAACTGCTTCAAGTCAATTCCAATATTCTGCATTGATTGAATGTATATTCACTTGGTGTAGGACTGCTTGTGACTGAGTGTAGTATATGTGTACTTTAATGTTGTTTTATGAAAACTGAATTTAATGGCTTCCTATAAAGGAGAAGTGATTGAATCTATTTCTGTTACGAGCCCTTTTATGTTCTGTCCTAGGAAGCAAAGCACCTAACAGTGGAACTGAAGATAATTTGATGTGTCCAGTGACAAATAGCAGGGGAATGACTTCATCCTGGGAGTGCTATGACGATTGTGTTCGTCACATTGACACAAATTGTCACATAAAGGCGCAATGTGAGAAAAATATTTTGTTACTCTGTTAGTAATTGATGGTTGTAGAATCTGTTGTGTTAAATCACTCATTCTTAAAACACTTCAAAGTGTTTTAATACTTAATTCCCTTTTTACCTTCCACCCAAAATAAGATATTTAGGACACTCATATTTATGTTGTGATATGTGATATGGATAAAAGATGAAAAGGGATACTTCAAAGGACTTAAATTTACAGAGTACCTTCTTTTAAATATGTATGTATTTTCATGCTTGTATCATTCTGACACAATATAAATTATTCACAGTAATAACTTATCACAATAACACACAGAGGAGTTTGCAGATTGCAGTTACTGAACATGCACTTACACATGAGTGTTTGATATATCTTATGAAAGAAAGCATACCCGTGAAGAATTTATGAGAAAGAATGAAATATTCAATTATTTTCTGTTTGTTTTCTGGATCTAAAATAGTTCCTTCTTCTTTAAAGACTGCCCTGAAAAGAAAGACTAATTTAGCAGAGGGATTTATTCTTTAAGAAAACAATAAAAAGTTGAACTCAGAAACTTCTTGAATAAAGAAGAGTAGAGATTAATCTAGGGTTCCTGATTAATTCAAAGATTGGCAGAGGAATTAAAAATTTTGTCCAATAAAGAAACAAACCTGGAAAATAGAACTAAAGATGCAAGAGAGCAGGATGGGGAGAAAAATTTCCAGAAATAAATTTGCAGTTGCAGTTAGTCCTGATTTAACAGCAGTAATGGGGACTGGAATTTAATAAGAGCCTTGGTGGTGCAGTGGACTAAAGTGCTGTTAAGTAGCACTTAGCTGCCAGCTGCCTGCAATTACTGCAAGTTCAAATCTCACCAGGCTCAAGGTTGACTCAGCCTTCCATCCTTCCGAGGTAGGTAAAATGAGGACCCGGATTGTGAGGGCAATAAGCTGACTTTGTATAAAAAAAAACACCGTTTGGGGGGAGGGGGGGCGAAAGTCCTACTAAGCAGGTATATACAAAAGTATGAAGGCTATTGCTTAGCACATTGTAAGCCGCCCTGAGTCTCCGGAGAAGGGCGGCATATAAATCAAACCAATAAATAAATAAATAAACAAATAAACAAATAAATAAATTTCCACTGCTAAGCAATGCACTTATAATATGTGACATCATAAGACTGCATTGCTTAGTGATGGCAATTCTGACCGTCCCTATTGCTATTGTTAAATGAGGATCATGGGTGGTGAAGTGACAAGGCTGAGTGGCTCACAAGCTGGCCAGAAGGTGGTTGGTGTGGTGCATTGCAAGCATGGTCATGTAGGGCGTGGCTACTGCCAAGTGTGGAAAACCCAGGTGATTGCCGTGGCACAACAGAAGTGTGTGTGTGTGTGGGGGGAACTCTTGCCTGAGACAGGACTGTGCACACTTGGCTCATACTTTGTAGCTGGGCTCTGCAGGAGAAAAAGTAGTGAGAGTGGTACTGACTTACAGGAGTGACTTATGACCATTGACTTTGCTTGTAGAAGCCGGCAGGGAAGATTGCAACTGTTTGTGTGAGCCAGTTGTTAGCAGCCCAAATTGTAATCACATGATGGAGAGAGGTCAACCAGAACTTTGGGGACCAGTCATAAGTACCATTTGTTCAGCACCATCGTAACTTTGAATGGTTGCTGAATGAGTAGTTGTTAATTGAAGCAACAAAAAAGTCACTGTGGAGAACTGCAATGCATTGACACCAGAGGCATTAAATGGAAAGAAATGGAAACTTCTGCAGTGAAGAGTGTTGGTATAACTGAATAAACTTCTCCTCTATCATATTTTATTTGCTATTTGTTTGGGGAGGAATTTTGAAGCAACTTCTGAAAACCTCTGGTCTTCTCTTGCAAATGACATTTTTAATATACTGATTCTATGGGGCAGAATAATGGGACAGATTAGCATGACAGAAACACCACCTTTTCTTGATATGTATCAATATCAGTATATGTACAAAAGTGAGGAACTTAATTATGCTGCCAGGATTTTCATCATGGATAGGTGTGGACTTCAACTCCCAGAATTCCCCAGCCAGTATGGCCTTCAGAATCAGAATCAGAATCAGAATAGAACTGTAAGGGACCTTGGAGGTCTTCTAATCCAGCCTCCTGCTCAATCAGGAGATCCTCTACCATTTCAGACAAGTGACTGTCCAGTCTCTTCTTCTTTTTTTTTTTTTAAATTTGATTTATATGCCACCCTTCTCCGGAGACTCAGGGCGGCTTACAGTGCATTAAGCAATAGTCTTCATCCTTTTGTATATTTTATACAAAGTCAGCTTATTGCCCCCACAACTGGGTCCTCACTTTACCTACCTTAGAAAGGATGGAAGGATGAGTCAACCTTGAGCCTGGCAAGATTCGATCTTACTTTAATTGCAGACAGCTGGTGTTAAATTACAGTGCTTCTGTCTGTTGAGCTAAACCAGGCTTCTTAAAAACCTACAGTGAAGTATCCACAACGGGGGTGTCAAACTCACAAGGTGTTGTCACGTGATTATCACAATTCCCCTCCCTTTGTTAAACCAGGAGAGAGTGTGGCCAGCACATGATGTATCCATCCCACAGCCATGAGTTTGACACCCCTGATCTACAACATCTGAAGGCAAGCTGTTCCACTGGTTAATTGTCCTCACTGTTAGGAAGTTTCTCCTCAATTCCAGGTTGCTTCTCTCTTTGATTAGTTTCCATTCATCGTTTCTTGTCCTGGCCTCTGGCATTTTGGGAAATAAATTGACCCCCTCCTCTTTGTGGCAGCCTCTCAAATACAGGAATAGTGCTATCATGTCCCCCTAGTCCTTCTTTTCTCTAGACTAGCCAAACCCAAATCCTGCAACTGTTCATATGTTTTTGTCTCCAGGCCTTTAATCATCTTAGTTGTTCTTTGCACTTTTTCCAAAGTCTCAACATCTTTTTGGTAACGTGGTAACCAAACCTGGGTGTAATATTCTAGGTGTAGTCTTACTAAGGCTTTATAAAGCGGTACTAATACTGCTTTATAAGTTGAAATTTAGTTATGAGTTGAAATCCAGATCTCTTAAAGTTGTGAAATTTGAAAAACAGTGCCTTAGACTGTAAGGTAAAGTTAATGACATATTTGAATGCTATTTTACACCAGCCTAGTAGAACTGTAGGGGGCTCTCTGAAGGTGAGAAGTGGAGAGACTTCTGAAGAATTGAAGAAGCTTTTTAGATGAGAAGCGAAAACTTTTCAAAGAAAAAAAACCAAGAAAATCCAGTTGCCTTTTGGAAAAATCTCCTTTGGGTGAACTTATACACTAGTTTACTCTCTGTCAAATATTTTTTACTTGGTATTGGTGTATAGATTAACTTTTTCCAACCAGCTGACAATTATGTTATAACTCAGATTTGCTGATATATTTTAGTTAGAGCCTTTACATATTCTTCTTCTGTTGCTTGCCATATTTCTGCAGAAATTCTATCTATTCCTGTAGCTTTTTGACTTGGCACTAACTGGAGTGCTGATCTAACTTTATATTTTAGTACCAGAGATTCTTGTAAAAAGGGAATATCTTTTAAGGTAGCTTAGATATTAATACTTCTGCCATACAGAATTTCAGCATATGCCTTCCATCTTTCTTAGATACTCTTTAATCAATTATTATCTGTCTACTGCTGTTCTTTTACATATCAATTCAAAATTGGAGCCTCTTTCTGAGTTCAGAGATCTTTGGAAGGCTTTCCTTGTTTTTTCCTGTCTCTTTTAATTTTTGATGCCTTTACAGATGTCATTGTAATTTCTAACAGTTCTCTGAAATTCTTTGTTAAGTTCCTTTCCTAGATCTTTGTCTTTCTTGGCCTTGGGTTTCTCTTCTAGGCAATTTCCATCATTTATTCTTGGTCTTTGGCAGTCTCTTTTCTAATTCTTCATTAACAACTTCTTTGATTTCTTTCTGGTTTTCTTCTAGTTCTTGATCAATGAGGTTCAGGAATTCCAAGTGATTCTTGGTATTTTTCTTGAAAATGGTGGGTATAAGATCAAGAATATATCATGCCCAATTCTAACCATGTATCATTCTAAGCCTCATCAAATGAAAAAGTGTATAATATAAAAATCATCAGATATGAACTAAAGAAGCAAGTTTACTAGAATAAGAATACCAAAAAGAAAAAAGCCAATATGATTTCAAATGTAAAAGCAATATGTTAGCCTGCTGCACTTATATAACTAAAAAAGAAAATGTGACTACTCCCTAAAATGTTATTTTTTATATGTTAATACAGTCAGAGATTAATTTTTAAGGAAGACTAAAGGAACATACATTGATGTAATAAATTTTAAATTAGGCCAAGTAATTTGTATTACTTCATGTTCTATATATCTATACAACTTTTAATAAAATTCATTTTTTATGAATACTTTACAGGCAAGTTTCATTTCTTTAATACTGAGAATATATTTCTTATATCATTTCAATTTCATTTAGTTTTATTTTGGAAGGAGTACTCAGCTTGAACAAGTATATAATGTTTAAATACAATTATGGACTAATTAGCTACTCAATCATTCTTACATAACACCAGGGACTGGCAAGAAATAATGGAGCTATTGTACACAAGTATATAAGAGAGCTGTGTTAATTAGTTTAGTGCTAATTGAGGCCCAGAAAGTATATGCTTGTCCTAAGAGATTTTAGCAAAAGCCATTATAATTGCAGTGTTGCAGCTTAACTTTTTATATCTTGACATGGAACTTGCACACTAGGCCGTGTTCTAAATTAAGTGATATATTTCTGTTTTCTTACCATACTTAATATGGTTACTTACCATAGTTAATATTTTCTCAGAACTTTGTTCATTGCTTTCTGGCATTAAAGTTCTTCTACAATCAATAGTCAAATAATGTGCCTTTTACTCACATTAAAAAAAGTGATGATTTAAAAAGCACAATAATATAAGTGATCAGAAATTTGCAGAATAGGAATTAATACAGAAACTCAGTCATGTTTAGAAGATACAAAGGACAAATATCATCCCATCCATCCCATCCCATCCCATCCAACTACAGGCATGGTTAAACAGACAGTGAAAACATGTGTGTTGTCGAATGACAATGAAGTCTTTATAAAATCTTAATAAAATGTGTGCAGAGTTTTGCTTCACTGGACTACATTCATTTTACCAAATGGAAAACTGGTGAGACTGAAAAACTAGTAATTTGATCAAGAAACCAAATCTTTCATGGTAGAGAGAAGGCACCTGTGAGATTTTTGGTATTTTACAGGAATTGTTTACTTCCTAATAGTCCAATCTTTAATTTAAAAACTCTTTTGAAAATGGCTGCCCTGAAGAGTTACTGCCAAAGGGTGTATGTACATTTTAGAAAATGTTGCTTTTTAGCCTAATGGTAACCTGACTTCATGTGGGTATGTGTCAGAGACGAAAGTAAGTTCCTGCTTTTTGCAGATTTCCTTATCACACTCATCCTATTTGCCCTCTTGCTATCATCTCTGTCAATCTTCTCATCCAGTTCATATAAATCTTCCTTATCTAAGTTTTAGATATGTGCACAATTTCTCTGCTGCATGCTGCCACTCTGTCTTCTTGCTGCTAGTGTTTTTCTTCATTCAGTTTCCCTGCGTTATTGTTCTCCATCCTCACCTTTTTCCCATACTCTACTTCTTTCTGCATGTGTTGTTTCACCCTTCTTCATCCTCATCCCACCTTCTCTGCATTTACTTTCCTCTCTGTCCTCAGCCATCGAAATTAGTGGTTGTCCAGAGCCATAGAATTGGACCACATTGTGCTCCTGGGCAATGATTTCATGGGGCTGCTATTGATGGCAACTGGAAATTTAGAATTAAGCCCAACTGATTCTTCCCAGTAACAATAGACTGCAGAATATTTTTAGGGCTGAAATGAAAATGATCAATAGTTTGTGTTATGATAAAAAATTAGGTATTCAAAGGGAAAAATTAAATACAAGAAAAGAATACTAGAATACTATGATCACATTTAACTTTCACTTACAGAAGTGGCTTAATGATATTAAAATTAAGACAGCCAGTCTAGAGACCAACTCCTACACTGAATTTCTATGAGTATTTACTTGGATATCAATAAATACATAAAGTAGTCTGAATGTTTTCTTGGTGTGTGTATACAGAAGTCCTTATTCCACATATAGTTTCCTTGAGCAAAAACAGTACAAGGAAAAATAATTATTGTTAAAATAGATCAATGTAATCTATAAAGCATAAGATTGACCTAGGAAGTTGTTGAGGAAATCTGGGTGACAATATATTAAAGATAAAGTTTGAGGAATGTGGGGACCTGATGACTCTCAGCATTATTACACGAACTAAATGAATAATCTCCAGTGGAAATCTTGCACAATACTTCACTTTTTAATCCCAGGCACAGAACTCACTTTTCCAATTTTATATAAAAGATTTCAGTGATATGAACATATCCATAACAATTCTATATTCCATTCAAAATGTAGTTGTTTCACTTTTCTGTTCCTCTTCAAAATGGAGACTTGAGATTGCACTTGGAAAGATGACCTGGAATAAAAATCGCTAACCGAAGAAGAAATTCTGTAAATTCCCAAATGAAAAGGTTCCACTACAAAAGTCAGGAATACATGAAAATCTGTTCATATGAGTTCTACCGCATTTCCATCTGTAGATTTTCTTCTGACTTACACTGTTGTGAGACAGGGCCATCAGATCTGCCATGCCACAGAAGAATCTATGTCAAACCTTCTATCCTGCTGTCATGAAACTCTTTTCAGTCTTCACTGTCTCCCTGCCTGGACATAAACAGTCTTTCAAACTCACTATGGAATTTCACTAACATAATTGTTCCATTCTCTTCTCAGAGAGGGGGAAGACAATGCTGCCACAGTGCCCTTGAATGAGAAATGGAAACGCTGGAGGCTCCTGCTTTGCTTTCCTCACAAAGCCTGCTTTGTCTGCCTTCAGCTAATTCAGGAATGATAGACAGCTGTGACAGTTGGCCTGTCTACATGGTCCAGTGAAATTCTGGGAATGAGCTTTATGTTACAACATGAAAACACATTAAACTGTCCAACATGCTTTCTTAACTTTTTATTGCTCACGAGGCTCTGGTTTTGTCCAGGACTCCTGTGTTATGGCCTATACTTTTCAGCATGTTTGATAGAAAAATAATGAACACAAGCAGGTATATCAGATGTATCAGTTACTTTTTTAAATAGCAGTTTTGAATGTTCAAATCACCTCTATTTCTCAGAGCATGTAAATAAAAAATATGGCTCATGAATATCTTATGAAGAAAATAAGTTATTATTTTTACAAATAAAAAGAGGCTATTTTACCAAAAGGTAGACATGTTCTAATGACATATCTAGAAGACAAATATGCTATTTCAATTAATTTTTCCTGGCAATTGCAGTTACCCAATATTGTGAACCTAAAAACCTAATGGTTGACCCTTTGGATTTCTGTAGCTGTCTTGCAAAACTCAAAAGAGAGGACTTTACAATTCAAGCTTTATCTCATTATAATTTTTCCTATATCAGGAGCTAGAAAAAAAATTGCACAGGTATCCTTCCCCATATTTCTATAAATTGACAGTCCAATCTTATGAGGCTGAGGCTGATGTTGTTGTGGCTGCCATTTTTAGAAATATGAGATCCAGAAACCATGGCTTGTACAAAAGACATACACTACAACCAAAGCAACTCAAGAACTTGGTTTGAATGTCATTGTCTCTTTGTAAGTCTTTCCTTCCCCATTAACCATCTTTTCTTCTCTTCATTTTAGCAGTATATTTATCATGAAAGCTGGGCCCTCTATCATCATTGCTATACTACTCTATTGTAAAATATGACTGAGACATAGACCATCCCTACTGAGAAGCAAGATTAATGAGAAAGAAAATGATGTATAAAGCCAAAAAACCTCGATAAAGTGATCAATCTGTTTTTCTTAAGGGGAATTCTTAAGAGAATTTACTTAGAAAAAAAGGACCCCATTACTCATTTCATCTCAGTATGCTTTCAATAGCTTGAGAACTTTGTTGGGCTAAATGCAATATTCAAATCAAGTCTGCATTATATTCCCCCCCCCAGTTTCTATAGTTATTATGAACTATAATCCAGGACATTTAAAAAAATCTGTGCCTTCATAAATGCAAACAATATAGTGAAGGTTACTGAAGGGTTATACACAGGGGTGAAATGCTCCTGGTTCAGACCGGATCGCCTGATCCGGTAGCGATGGAGGTGGATGGTTCGGAAAACCGGTAGCAAAAATCCCTGCCCCCCCATACCCAGCTGAGCTGCACAATCATCAGAGGCTTTTTTTTTACTTTTAAAAGCATTTTTTCTACAACCTCTTTGGCCGAAAAAATGCTTTTAAAAGTAAAAAAAAAAAGCTTCTGATGATCGCGTGGCTCAGCTGGGATCCTCAAAGGCTTTTAAAAGCCTCTGAGGATCCCAGCTGCCTGATTGGCAGACGCTTTTTTTCTTTTAAATGCGTCTGACGATCAAGCTGAGTTGCCTGATCAGCAGAGGCTTTTTTCCTTTTAAATGCCTCTGCCGATCAGGCAACTCAGCTTGGATCGGCTTTTAAAAGAAAAAAAGCCTCTGGCGATCAGGCAACTCAGCTGGGATCATCAGAGCCTTTTGAAAGTATTTTTTTTACAACCTCTTCGCCAAAGAGGTTGTAGAAAAAATGGTTTTAAAAGTTAAAAAATAAAATAAAATTGGCCACGCCCACCCAGTCACATTATCACCCCCCACCAAGCCACGCCCACAGAACCAGTAGTAACAAATTTTAGATTTCACCACTGGTTACACAGTGTCAAGGGCAGAGTGAAGGCTAAGTCCCTGCTGGTTGAGGTTATTTGGTTATATGTTGTTTTGGGAACCATTCATGATTCTATTTCTGTTTTTCAAAAATTTTAATTGAAAGCTGCCCAGAGTTGTTGGAGTTATGCATTGTTTAAATGTATATAGAATGAAAATAAAAGTAAATAAAATGAAAAGTGGCTGCATTGGTGGTGTGATCAAGGGTGGGTGGGTGGTTTATTTGATTTTCTGGGAAGTACAATGGTGACATTGGACTATTTCCTCTGGCCTCTCAAGATACTCCCTGCAATTGCAGTTTCATTTCTTTCTTTCTTTTTTTGTAGACAGATCCATTCCTAGGTAAGCCTGGCTTGCAAATACCCGCTTCTTTTCTTATCAGCAGAGATAGTACCAGCATTTAAGCCTCAAATTTATTTATTTATTTTTCAAATTAGAAGCATTTTTTTAAAAAAAATAAAGAGATGTACGGGCACTAAGGGAAAGTCTGCAGGTCCACTGAGGCCCACAGGATGACCTTAGGGAAGTTGCTGTGGTCATTTTTAAGTAAACATCCCACTTTA